TTCAGGCTTTGCTCTCAGTCCCAAGACTCCTCATGTGAGCGCCTGTCTCTGGTCACCTGGCAGCTCCATCAAAGTCAACTCCCTTAGAATGAACTGCATTTCCCTAAGCTCGCAAATTGCCCGCCTCCACATTCACCCTCAACTGCTCTCCGCTACACCACACCCTGCCTCTGCTCCTTCACTTGTTCTGTAGGTTTTTGAGGACATCTCTCCTTCTCTCATCGTCTTCATCTCTTCCTCACGTGGGTTATACTCCCAGATACCACCAACTGGAGGGGTAGGGTGGTCTGGCTTAGCAAGTTCACTCAAATCTGCACAACATACACAGGGCCTTCCAAAGAGCATACGTGCAATGAAGGTTTGGGATTCAATGCTCCAATGAGGACTTGGGCTTCCTTATTGACTTTAAATTTCTCCAATACAACTAAAGAAATCATCAAATTCAAGTAAACATGTATATTTACTTGTATGAAACTGCAGAAAAAATGGGGTAAGAAGACAAGAATTGTTTTTATTTGTATCTACGTATTTAAGACCCCATCCAACAATATAAACTTCTCACACATTTCCATGAAAATTTCTATTCCAATGCTATCTAGTATTTTGTTCCATATCATAAAATCAAATGAAAGATTTCTCACTTAATTAATGATAAAATCAACAAAATATCAAAGACTTGTACTGTGGAAATGGAGAGGAAAATGCATGTGTAATCCATATCATGCACAATTACAATCATATTTGAACTAAGAAAAATATCAAAAAGCCAAAATACATGTGAGGTCAATATTCCCTACATGAGGTGTGCAATCTACTTCTATCTTCCAATACATGAAGAGGTGTTCAGAATTTCGTAGAGAACACACGTGTCAATGTCCAAGTAACTGAATACAACAGACATCAAGAAGGCATGTTCTGCGTTCCCCCATCCAACCCTGACCCTCACTGCTTGGGAAACTGCCTGCTCTCCTCAGACAGACTGAAGGGTGGGCCTCATTTCACATGGGGTGGGAGCTAATCTAGTGATGTGGGTCCACTGGATCCATGTCTCTCCCTGTCCCTGGCAGGCACCTTGCCCACTCAGTGGTCCTGACTCATTCTTGGGCAGCCTTGTGCTTCTCTCTCAAAGCCTCTGAACACAGGCGTGAATAATACCTGAGATCTCTCTATTGAACCAAAGAAACAAGGCCCAAGGCAAGGCCCAGGACAAGGACAAGGACCTATGTGTGGCCAGAGGCATCCACTTCCTTCACATCACTGCCAAAGACTGAATACAGTAACTCAGACTTACCTGAAGCCCACATGGAAGAGCTCCTAGTAGTCCTGGTCAACACTGGGCAGCATTTCTGCCTCTCTCATTAGAGCCTTCTTTGAATACTTGGGGAGCAGGAACACCAAGAATTTAGCGATCTTGTCATATACGACCATATTGGGCAGGGGCTGACGGCCTTGCAGGCCCTGTGAGGTGCTTGGACTCTCCTCTTCTTCCCTGCTGGAGCTCCCACTGCATTGGCTGCATGCACTGGAGTCCATGGCTGTTGGAGGAGAGGACTCTCTCTGAGGATTGTGGGAACAACCCAATGTGATATGCCAGCAGCAGGCACTTCCTGTGGTGTGTCTTGGACTTAAGTATAGGAGGAAGAGGAGCAAGTGCTGCTGCCTCTTCCTCTTCCTCGGTTAGGAAGCTGCATACCCCCCAGGCCCTGTGCCTCTCTTTGGGCAGAATGTCCCCATCCCCAGCTTGCTGTAAGGGTTCCTCTCTCCATGAGGCATCATGATGTTCCTGGGGAACAGAAAGAGCTTGGTGATTGGTACTCAGAGTACTGGAGGAGTGAGGGAGCGTGTGAATGCTCTAAACTGAGAACTACTCTCCTACAGCTCTTATAAAGGTGGACTAAAATCTTCTCTTTGGATGGTGCTCTAGGGACTCATAGGTTCCTGCCTTTCTGGAGAGCCTGTCCCTAGAGAACCTGGGACAGAAGTAAAATTGCTTATCTTGGTTCAGCTGGCCAACAGAGGAGAGTGCATCAGGGAAGGTAGTAAAGTAAGTGGGGCCAGACACTATTGGAGCCCCTCTGCTCTGGTGCAGTTGGAGACCTTGGTACATGTTCAGTGAATGTACCTCACCTTAACTCTGGACACTGCTTACGTGTCCTCTGCTGTGATCCGTGGACATAGCCTCAGACAAAGTCCCTCACTTCCTGGTTCCCAAAGCTCCTGTAAGAGACACTGAGGGCCTCTCAGTCCACAAGCACAGTGTGAAGTGGACTCTTTTGGGTCTGTATGGTCATTTGTGAATGGACCACCCTTTGCTCTCATCCAAAGCAGTAGCTGTCAGAGGATGTCACATCCAGGAATGTGCACAGGGTTTCCTAGCTCTCATAGCAGGAGCAGAAAAGAATTCTCCAGCCTCCTCCCTTCTCCCTAGGCATGAACATCTTGATTCCTGGCAAAGCCTGGACACCACCCCTGTACTGGCCTGAAGCAAACTCTTACAACAGGTGTCCTCTGCCCTGAGAGGGACTAAAAGGCTGTGAAGGGTCTTGCATCTGGTCACACCTGCCTAGGAGAAGCAGCAGGACATGGCCAAATTCAATGGGATCCATGAATCCTGGGGAGGTGAAGACCCTCCATTCTCACCTTGATGAGTGGTCAGTCAGGGGACTCTCCCTGGGACACCCTGAGGCCACCTTCTTTAAACCACGGGCCTATCTCTGTGAGACACTCAAAGAGGACACGAGGGGAAGCCAATCCATCCATGATCCATGGGTCTTCTCAGAGGTGACAGAAGGGGCAGGTTGAGGCGAGGGTACTGTGTGTGAGCTGAGGGGGTTCCCTCTGCCCTCACATAGACTTGTGGCAGGGCCTGGGATTCCCCTTCTGCTCTCCCGAGTCCAGCTCCCTCATGCCAAGACCTTCAGATCTCTGAGACCGATGACCCAGAACTGAGAGAGCAGCCTCGGCCTGACTGCCGTGCCCAGTTTCCCGGGATGACTGCAGGTGCGGGGCAGATACCTGTAGAGTGTCCACCCCTCTGTGTTCTGGGCAAAGGTACCCCCGATGCTTTCTTAGGGTCCTCACCTTGACTCTTGACAGAGCCTTGGCCCCGCGCGTGTGCTGTCTAGATGAGGATTCTCAAAGGGAGTGTGCCGGGACCCCATCCCATCACGCCACAAGGGGACTCCAGGGCTGATAGCAGGAGCCGGGCCGGCCCCATCTCTCCTTTGATGCGGGACCCCTGTTATGGTTTGTATCTAGATTTCCCCCTAAGCTTCATGGGATGATGGTGGGAGGGACCTTAGGAAGTTGGTTGGATTATGGGGCATTTTCCCTGACTTATAGCACCCCCTGTTGGGAGGTGGGTCCTGGCGGGAAGAGGACGGTCACTGTGGCTGTGACGTAGAAGGTCAGCTCTCCTTTCCAGATTCCTCCCTTCACTCTCTGCTTCCTGGATGCCACGAGGTGAGCAGCTTTCCTCCCATCACATCTTTCCACTGCACTGTTCTGCCTGTGAGCCAGCTTCATGCACACTGCAACCTCTTCAAATTGTGAGCCAAAATAAACCTTTCCTCCCTTAAACTGCAGAAGTTGGGCATTATGCTTCAGCAATGAGAACATAACTAAGACAAATTCTATGTGCTTCTGTAGTTTCTATGTCTTCCTCCTGGTGGAACACTGCCTACCTCATTATGGTCCTACCAGAGAAGTGTTGCACTCTCCCCTTGAGACAGAGACCCCATCCCCTTTAGTGAGGACTGCATGTATGCAGGTACCCCATCCCCCCAAATTATGGACTTCACAGAGCCTGGCTTTCCCTTATTATCAGCCTGCAGGTCTGGGAAGGGGGGCTGCATGTGGATTGCTCCATTTCTGCTAAGTGATTAGGGTGGGAGGACACAGGGAGATAAAGACCTTGGTCCAAGTGGTGGTCACAGCTCAGCAGAAGGAGGTAAATATGGGCAGCAGGCAGAGGACCCCAGGGGCTGCCAGACCCAAGCCATGGGCCCTTCCTGAGGACTGAGTGTGTCTGCAGCCCAGGACCTAGGACTCCATAGGCTCTGCCTGTCCCCTGGGGTCAGCATGCTCCCCTCTCCCCGGGCAGGAAGGAAGATCACTGTGAGTTCAAGGCCAACCTGAACCGCATAGTGAGACCCTGACTCAAAAAGAAAGAAAGAAAAGAAAAGAAAGAATGAAAAAGAGGAGGAAGAGATCCCAGAGCAAGCTCTCTCCTCATGCCACCACTGAGGCTTGATACCATCAAGGCCTTCTTGGCCCCCTCCCCCAGGACACTCCCCACCACTAATCTCAGCCAACTCTGTGTTGCTGCACAACCCGGCCTCATCCCACACATCTGGCTTCCAGCATCAAATCAATGCACCCCACTTTCCCTGGCAGCCAGCCCAGAACAGGGCCAGAGGATATTTGGTGAATGAATAAATGAGCATCACTTGGTCTCTCCTTTTTATGTCAGAGATATTCATAATACTCCAGGTATTATTGTCCACACAGGGAATTTTAATTCATGAAAATTAATCACTTTGTAACTCAAAGATGTATGCCCTAGGGCCAGGGATTTAACTCAGTGATGCCGCCACCTGCCTCGCAAGCACAAGGTCCTGAGTTCAATCCCCAGCACACACACAAAAAAAGATGTATGCCCTTTTCTGCAGACAAATATTCAGAATGCAAAATAGAGCCAAGTGTGGTGGCACACACCTATAATTTTAGCACTTGGGAGGCTGAGGCGGGAGGTTCGCTGTGAGTTCAAGATCAGCCTGTACTACATAGTGAGTTCAAGGCCAGCTTGAACTACATAGAGAGACCCTGTCTCAAAAAACAAACAGAATTCGAAATAGAATTAGATTAAAATAAATAAACTGGGCATGGTGCACAC